TAAGTTTCGTGATCATAAGTCAAGTAAGATGACAATATCTTCAGGAGTTCCGCAAGGCTCGATTCTTGGGCCTCTACTTTTTCTGTTATATATTAACGACATTGAGAACTGTAGTGAAATAATTTCTTTTGTTATGTATGCTGATGACACAAATGCGTTTTACTCTGACAAATGCCTCAAATCTTTAATGCATGTTATGCAAAAAGAAATGAATGAAGTGACTAAATGGCTAAACGCCAATAAATTATCAATAAATACTAAAAAAACTAAGTACGTCATTTTTAAATCAAAAAATAAAAAAATGTGACACTGATACTAATATTCAACTTAACAATAACATTATACATCAGGCTACTGCTGTCAAATTTCTAGGTGTAATAATAGATCAAGAACTAACATGGAAAAACCATATAAACTCAGTTGTCAAAAATATTATTAAAGCATCGGCGTTGATTGCAAAAATACGACATTATACAAACCAAAATACATTAAATGTACTTTATTATGCATTAGTTTATCCATATCTTACTTATGGGAATTTAATATGGGGTAACACGTACCCAACAAGGCTGCTAAAAATACTGAATTTACAGAAAAAAATTATCAGATTGATGAACTTTAAATCTTATCTTGAACACACTGAACCATTGTTTCAAAAATTGAAAATCTTAAATATCTTTAAGATTAATGACTATTTAAGTTGTTTATTTGTGTACCGTTTTAAACATTTACAAAATCTACCTGAATTTGTTAATGACTACTTCATACAAAACAATGAAGTGCATCATTACAATACTCGGAATTCTAACAAATTGCATGTCAATTATAGTAGAACTAATTATGCAAAACATACTATTATTAACAAGGGAGTTAAAATATGGAACTCTCTTGATAAAGGAACTAGCAATACTATGTTTTATTCTACTTTTAAGAAAAAGTTGAAAAGCCTTTTCTTGGAATATACCTAACGGCTTTCATTTGTAATCTCACATAATAAACTCTTGTGTATATTTATATTCAAATCACTATCTTTGTAAATACTCTTACTTTGTCTTTGACAAGATTGAACAAGCTTTAACTATTTTTATATAATAATTAATATTGTTAAACTAGGGGCCTTTGAATAAAAGCCTGATAGGGTTTCATAAAGGTTCCTAGCCCCTAATGTTTGTAAAAATATAGATTGTAAATATATTTAGCTTTATATGGGCAAATAAAAAAAAAATATTAAAAAATATTAAAATATTTGACCAATAGCACAAACCTGTGATGTGATAGACTGAATTAAAGCCAATACCAAATCTTCCAACTTTGAGTATGTCAGATTTCTTATTACTTCGCATTAGATTCTGGATTCCTTCCCAATCTTCAGGTTCAAATATGGCATCATTAAATGCGTAGAGCGCAGGTCCTTGATACTTCTGCAAGTGTTCAGTAGCGAGATACGTCTTGCCAAATGATCGACCATCGTAGAGAAACTTCACTTCTCTGGCTCCTGCATCATCAGCATTCTGAATTAATTCCTTTAGACCAAAGTCAAAAATATAATATATTGATTGCAGTGAAAAATAAGCTGAGACCCTATTCACATGGAAATATTAAAAGAGATTCAGGATTGTGCTCAATTCCCATTCTACTGTGGGACTCACGAAACTGGACAAATTTAAGGTGGCTCCCTACAGTTTTAACGTTATAGCCGCACATTACTGAATACTGTGCTTTAAGGCCATTATGCATTGTATGAATGATGTACAGTGTACAAAGTTTAAAATGTTTCCATCGAAGGAAACACGAGAGAAATACAGTTATTTTTAGTGAATTTTTAGTATATGACGTTAGAAAAATCAGGATTTCAATTTTCCTGCGAGACTATTAGAAAGTTATTTCTAATAGTTATTTTTATTATACAACTCAGTGGACCATGGAGGATTGTAAAATAACAACAACTGCATGTAAAATAACAATAACAACTTTTGTTATTTTACAATCCATGGTGGTACTAGTCTGCTCCCAGACCGAAATTTCGTTCTAAGGAAACCAGAAATTTGGTTTCCGCTTCAAATTTTCGGGTGGGGGCTACAAGACAATCTCGTTCCCAGAGTATTCCCGTTTGCAGATTAGCTAGGTTCAGGCCATGCAGCCAACTACAAAGCCACCTGCGAACGGGCATACACTACGATAGATTGTGTGACGAGGTTTTTGAGCAGAAAATCTTCATAGATAATATCCATTTTGCCTGTTTTACCAAGTCGAGGAAGTTCAAAAGGAATTCGTATTTGTCGTCGCTGCTAAAACTTTCTACTATTTCTTCTCGCCGGTATAAGATTCACGAACATTTTTTGTAAATAAAATACTTACTCGTTGCCAACTTGCCATAAAACACGTGGATATAAAATGTCAAAGAACTGATGCTATATACTGCAATCCATTGACATATTGTAGATTCAACTCTTTTCCTGTCTTGTTTTAATTAAACCCATTTCTTGGGTTTCATGAATCATGGTCGCAGGTCGAAAAATATGTGAAAATATGAAAAACAATGACAGAGCTGCTACAACTCCAAAAAGCTAGGAATATGTTTGCAAAATCAGAGGCATGTGGAAACTGGAGTAAGCTCAGAAATGAGCCTGGTCAGTGGTATTAAAACCATGGGCAAAAGAAACCTGTTGCCATGGAAATGGCATAAAAATCGACCATGTTTTTGGATTCACTCTTTCATGCCAAGCACTTCTTCCAGTGATATTAGATGGCTTAAGATCTACGACGTCGACGTCAGCTAGGACGTCAGGGCTAAGCAGAGGACTGGGACCAGGACGTTGTCCTAAATAAGTCTATAGCTCAAGTATCTACGACGTCAAATATTTAGGGTCGCAAGCGGAATTGGTAATAGTTTTTGAAGTGTGCATGTGTCTCTCAATTTGCTCGTCGTCCACCAAACGTCGACAATTAACCTCACAACAAGAATTTTACCGGATACAGGAGTATAACAAACGGTAATGATTCACACGTCTCTTTTTAAATTCATTTTCAAAAGGATGTAAATATTTATAGTTTAAATGTCCACGTCATGAATCTTAAGTGGAAGTTTAGTTATTTAAGACGTCCTAGTCCCAGTCCTCTGCTTAGCCCTGACGTCCTAGCTGACGTCGTAGATCTTAAGCTATATAATATAGCTCAGTGTGACTGCACCACTTCATGTTGCTAGCCAGTGCACTTACGAGAGGCATTCATACCCTAATATCCACTATTTTGAATATTTTCAGGAAGGTGAATGCCTCCCATAAGCGCATTGGCTAGTAAGAACATGCAACTGCATTGCAGCAACAGTTATTGGCCAAAATCATAGGCACCAGCAAGAAGTCAGACGTCTGTCCAGGGGCGTAGGAAGCATCATAAGATGAGGGAGGGGCACTTTTGGATAATGAAAAGTGCGGAAATTATCCACTCATACCATACCGAATTGCAACGTACAATGAACGTTTTTGACCACATCACGTTTTTAAAATAATATAATAAATAATATAATAAATAATATAAATATTAAATAATATAGTATTTACAGTGACATTAGCTTGTACAAAAAGGGCACTTTTCATATATTGCAAAAGAGGGCACTTTTGGTCCTTTCCAAAAAGGGGGTGGTGGCACGTGCCCCTGTGCCTCCGGTTCCAACGCCTCTGCTTCTCTCAGTGTTTATTATATTACAAATATTATTGCTTCATGGTTAGTACTGTTTGTCAAATTACCTTCAAAATTTGCCCTCCATCAGGGTAACGACCCAATATATTTACAATTTGATCAGTTAGTGGGGGTTCTTTCTGACCAAATGGTTTCTTAATGTCTGAAAAAGGGTGAAGATAATGCTGTTAATTATTTGAAGGAATGTCTAATTTTCATTCTTTGGCTTTGCAGTAGCCTTATATTACTAGAAGAGATGTAGTGTAATTTTCTTGTTCAATATAAAGTCGACATTTCTGAAGTTGAGCCTGCCCTGTACACCATTCTAAAAGTCTAAATCATGGGTTGATAAGATGATGACGATTATGATGATGGCATAGGACCAATGCATAGGACTTACCCATGGACTATAGTGATTTATTCTTTATAAATATGCATTACCAAGAATTCGAGTGATACAAATTTAATAGTATATTTTAAATAGCTAATCTACAAATATCATGTAAAAAAAACCCAACCAAAATTAAAGTGGTATTTGTGTGGCCAAACCAAGAAGTCGGCCTTGTGTAAGGGCACTCTTAAACTTAACAGACGTTATTTTTTTACTCGTCTGCATAACTTCCCATATTTATATAACACCAGAGAATTGTAGAAGGGTAAGGATTCATCTAAAATACAAGTAAAACTTTGACGTTTCGAGCGAAGGCCCTATTTACTTTCAGTCTAAATTCAGTATTGAGAAATGGCTTTCAAGCCAAACTCTGTTCAAAACAAAATGGCTGCCGAAAATGAGCCCACTTGCATGCAAACAAATCATCGAAGAAAAAATTGAACGGAAATTAAAGCACATACTATTCCTCTAAAAGCTAGCAAAGGAAGAAACAATATATGGTGCTAACCTATTTCCGAAAGACAAAAGCACCTTTTAGAATTTAGATGCCTATAAAACAATTTTCTGGTGTGTTTTAGGTAGTGACCTACACCGGCACAGGCTGTTCGTATTTATGTAATTATATTAGAGTAAGACGACAGACGTTTACATGTAAGTCTAATTCTTAACGGACATTGTCATTGATATGCTGTAAAAACGTCTTGTATTGAATAGCTACTTTATACGGCCAAGTTCAAAATACGTCTATCTTTCATAATCAATATAAATTGAATAAGTAAACTTTGTAAATCAAATAATTTGTATGATTGATTAACTGTATATATTTTATATAGACTATATCAATAAAGCTTTTTCGTAAAGATGTAAACATTCATTGACATCATAATAAATGTTTATACGTACTGCATGACATTTATAAAATTATAATGTTGCTCATTTCCGACTTCATTTTGATCACTGGTAATTAGCTACTCTGTGACACTGTGTGCTGGAATTCGTAAATGTTCTGTACCAGAACCGAGCGTAGGTACTATAGGTAATGACTGTAGAGGTGTAGACATTCAACTCCCAAAAAATACAAGTTAAAAACTTCAAGTGGAAAGCCCTTCGGCTTCATCGGGACGTTTCGAGCAGAGGCCCTTCGTCGGGTTATAGTAGCGCTGGCATTCGCTCGAAACTAAAGTAAAGGTATTGAATCCCTATACACATCTACAGTTCTCTGACTTAAATAATGGCCAAAATTTCCTTTTGTTTTGGTAGCCTCGGTAGAGTTTGAATATTCTTCAAAACCCCCATAAGCCCACGAGGATGAGAGTGATTTCAAACTCTGGCTAAATGGCCTAAATTTACAAGGATGGAGATTTGTACAATTAATAGACTTCCTAACTCGGCATAAATTATTAAATAGCTACATTTGTGCCGTAACACAATTTCTATACATGCAATGTCAATGTTAAATAAATAATTTTAAAAGTATTTCCTAAAAGAACTTCAGTAGTTGTTCAAAAAGCTGACCAACATAAACATACCAGTACGCTCCGCCATCATTCACTTTTGAGAAGCCGAAGATGATTCTAGTCTTCTGTAGAATACATTTGACTCACAGTAGTACTGACCGGACAGCGGCTACATGATATTAGTTAAGGTCTTTCATCTAAATATTGCAATATTCTTACAGCAACGTTGCACATACAAGACATACAAACTACCCTTGCCGCAATGAAGACCAAAATGACGCTAACACACGCCCTAACCTAACATGATTCACCATGTGGTTTTGCTCGACCGATTCCAGGAAAATTCTGTCGAATACGCAGAAAGAACGGAAACGGAAACAGTCGTTAAAAATTTGACTTTCAGCAATAGCCTTTGACACAGGCTACAACGATCGCCGAAAATATCAAATCACAACTGATTGTATTTGGGTAAATATCGAGATTTTGTTGACATCTCACTCGATTCAATATAAATAGTTGAAGAATCTTGTAGATGAAAATTATCGAGTGAAAATATATATATTTATCACTTTATATTTACTGAGACCAAGGGAAACAGTGTGTTTTGTGGACCCGAGACCGCCGTTGTTGCTCGAAGAGGCCGCAACAACGGCGGTCGAGGGGCCACAAAACACACTGTTTTCCCAAGGTCTAAGGAAACTAGTGTTTTGTTATATAGTATATAAGTGTCAAAGTATGAATAATTCACCGGTTATTGGAGTGAACTTTGAAATCAAAACTAGATATAAAATGGAATGCCGTAAATGTTTAATAAAAAAAGTTTAATAAAATCAACTTTGGAACTTCAAGTAATCACGACGCGCACGCGCACTGTACCCATTCTATTATTGACCGGTCAATAAATGTTTCATTGTGGACCGGTTTCCTCCTCGCCAAAGCATGCAGTGAATATGACGTTTTGTGGACGGGCATGTGATACGGTTTTGATCAATCGGCAAACAGAAGAATTGAACTTTGACACTAACATACATACATACATACATACTATGCATACATACGTACATACAAAACTTTATTTAAACCACGCTAGCCTCAACAGCCGTTGGAAGGCTGGTTTCCATGAGGGGCGTGAAATTACCTTTTTTCAAGAAATGAACTATTTACAAGAAATACAAAATATAACAAAAAAAATACAGGTGATTTTAGCTGCACAATTACACACAAGCAAATTTCAACTCATTCTTTGTTTCAATATCGATTTGAAAGAGCTTAAGGATTCAGCAATTTTTGCCTCATGGGGAAGATTATTCCAATGCAAGGCACCATTATAACTGAAGCACCTCTTGCCGAATTCTTTTTTCGGCGTAGGTGGTGCTAAATCAGTATCCCTTTTTCTAAGATTGTAAGTATTATGCCATTCATTATTAAATTGAAATGCTTCTTTAAGACTGGGGGTGTGGCCATTCAGAATTTTATAGATGAAAATAGATTTAAGATAGTTTCGTCTTTTTTCGAGAGGTTTCCAATTTAGATTATTGAGTAATTCAGATGACCGAATATCGTAAGTTTCCCCAGTAGTTACTCTTGCAGCACGATTTTGGTATTTTTGCAACCTATCTTTGAGCCCAATTCCGCAATTATCCCACAACGGGCTGCAATAATCGAAATAAGGCTGTATAATAGCATTAAATAGCATTTTGGTTGTCGACAGTGGTACAAAAGGTTTAACGCGTCTCATTGCACCAATACCGGCACCAACCTTAGAACAGATTGAATCAATATGTTTATCCCAAGACAACCTTTCGTCCATAGTCACGCCAAGGCATGAATATTTATTAATCCTGGGTACTAGCTTATTATTAATTAAAATAGGATTACCAGATACTTTATTCTTAAGGTTATAGGGACATCCAATGAACATATGTTTCGATTTACTGGGGTGGATTTGAAGTTTGTTTTGTATCACCATTTGCATATGTTTTCGAGATCAATATTTACCTTGTCGACAAGGTCAGCGCAGTCATTAGAAGATTCATAAATTTCCGTGTCATCAGCATAGAGTGAAGGAGTTAAGTGACTTAACGAATCATACATATCATTTATGTATAATAAAAATAATAGAGGGCCAAGGATGGACCCCTGTGGAACTCCGCATATTATCGTTTTTGGGCTCGATAGTTGTCCGTTTATAAGACATTGTTGAACTCTGTTATTCAGGTATATGATTCGAACCATCTTAGTTGGTTTCCTGTTATTCCGAAAACATTACGCATTTTATCAATCAGAATTTCATGATTTATGGAGTCGAAGGCTTTTAACTATACAACAAATTTATTTATAGACCTATTAAACCATACTATTATTGAATTGTGTGAGATGCCAACAATATTTACCATAACCTCTAAACATGGCAGTACCGCCTATATATTTTCCTGAACATGTGGTTAGAGCTCTGTTGCTCAGTTGGTTAGAGTGCAGCACTGGAATCGCAGGGCCACAGGTTCGATTCCTGTTCCTGCATGGTTAGGTCTAATAAATGTATATAAATTTCCACAATTTCCATCTACAAAACTCCGGCTTTGAACTTCTCATATCAGACGAATCGCAGGGCCACAGGTTCGATTCCTGTTCCTGCATGGTTAGGTCTAATAAATGTATATAAATTTCCACAATTTCCATCTACAAAACTCCGGCTTTGAACTTCTCATATCAGACGAGAAAATCATTGCACGTATTGCTGCTTCTCTTGCGCCGGCAACGCGATCAAGTATGATCTGTAGCGTTGCCGGACCGCGCGAGAAAAAAATCGCACGTGTAACCCTAGCTTCTAGGGGACCACCACATATCAGACATACCAGTGGGGACCACTCATTTCGCAAATGACCCCAGATTTATTTTTTTTGGGGGGAGGGGGGGCGGATTGACATTACACTTAGAGAGGGGTGGTAAAGGAATGCGCTTGGAAAATTTATACAACTTGTGTGTTAGACTCGGGCAATAAAATTTAAATTTGCAACTAGAACTTTTAAAAGAAACAACTCTTACGACATGATTTCCTCTATATCATTGAGTCTTGAGTTCATTAATGGTTGAGTTACATTTCAAGGGAGACGGTTGGATCCGATTTCAGTGGACACCAACGCTTGGTTATAGGAATTTCAAAGCACCCTTGGCCGTAACAACACAATCAATAAGTATAAAGATGTTCTATAAACCGACTGTTTTCACTAAGTTGAAGTGTGTCCTGTCCAATACGTAAACCCAGCGGATTTATTTAGAAATATGTAGAGATGTAGAGTTACTATATTCCAGTACAAAAAAACGAGATCCTGTCCGATACGTAAACCCAACGGATTTATTTAAAATATGTAGAGATGTGGAGTTATAATTACTATATTCCTATAAAATAACTGGTATCCCAAAGGTCGCGGGTTCGATTCCCTCCGTGGCCGGCAAACAAACTTGAGCTTGCCCGGTGTGGATGCTCACTCAGAGTAACGTCACAAACATCATGCATATTCACCTGAGTACATAAACACCAACACACACAAATACAATGACATAATCTATATTTACTTATAGATTATGTTACTTAGGTCAGTTATTTGATACGATATCTCATATTTTGTAAATAACTTTAATTTAATAATATATCAAACTCTTGATAGTCTAGCTTGTACCTCTTTTTTACACGTCTCGTGTGGAAATCAGCTTTGGATGATGGGGTTATAGTGCCACTATGTGGGTGAGTAAATACAACTTTTCGATTTATCTATACTATAAACATAATCTCCCGACTGTTAGGCCACATAAAAATAATAGTTGGTTAGCGTCATCGCCCGCCCACAAAAAAGGTCCCGTTCAGGATTTTTTAAAAAATTTTTATAGTTTAAAAATAAAACTCAGTTTTCATTGGCCAACGGGCTTTGATATATGTAGTATTTCTGTAGTCAATTGTGTTTAAATGCAAGGTATTCTAGAATATATAAAGTGTGCGAAATGACGGTATGATTGAATCATATTCTGAAATACTATAAAAAAAGTTCAAGAAATATCTGTAGTAGCCTACTGCGCAAGAAAGTATAGTTCTGGACCTAAAGCCAAGGCGTTAAAATTAGTATAAATTAAAAAAAAACAACCGCCCGCCCACGTTTTGGCAAAAGCTTAGGACGCTAACCAACTGTTTTTTTATGTGACCTTATACAGCAGTTGAGAGAAGGCTGGCATTTATGCGCGGTCACTTATTAAATATCAGAAACCTCAACAACTTTATTCGATTCGTCAAATAATTGCTGGAATATTATATTGTCCTAAATTTAAAATATATTCATTTACCTCTACTACAAGGTGTATACGTACTTATCTTTATGTATTATCTTTATGTGAACGTATATCCATGCATGCGTAAGACACAGAGTATCTCAAAGTGCACAGCCCAGGTAAAGTACAAATACAAGACTACGCCCCTCCCCCATGTTTTAGCTGAGTGTTATTTTAGATTCATTTTAAATTCGATGAAAATTGTTACGTGCTGGGGTGGTGAGCGAGCCTAAAGGATGATATACTAGTGGGAGAACTTAATATTCCTTGCTGTCTCAAATGCAAACTTATATATTGAACACTTGTGATTCCCCGTTACATGCATGGTTTGAAAGTTGTGTGGGTTAGGTTTTTGAACCGTAGAGGATTTTGCGAGTCAAAAGTTCCCCAGAATGCAGGAAGTGACATTTAAGAGCTAGACTCTAGATTTCAAAGTTTTCTGGGGAAACATGTATCACACCATCTTTCTGCCACCCGTGTGCAAATTAATTAAGAGTCAAATTAAAAAACTAATTCAGGTAAAATGATTTTACTAAAATCCTCTGAACCCCGCCAAACATTTGCTGCTTCTTCCTTGTCAGCAGCCCGCATATACTCAATGCCCCAACATATTTGTTCATGAGTAATTTCAGGTAAATTTAGACGTGACTTAAGCTGATGTTCAGGTAAATTATATGAGCAATAGCGATCGGGAAAAGGTGCCACACCCTCCTAGAAAAATTGAAGTTGGGCAAATTCTAAAATCTAAACGTAAGTTGGGCAGAAATGTGGGGGCGGAATAAATTGAAAAGCAATAAATATGTAAGATAATAGGCGAAAATGCAAGAAATATGTAAGATAATAGGCGAAAATGCAAGAAATATGTAAGATAATAGGCGAAAATGCAACAAATATGTAAGATAATAGGCCAAAATGCAAGAAAAATGTAAGGTTCGCAAAAATGTTCCAGTGCTAGAAAATGTCCGGCAGCGCCAGCAGCACCGCTGCCTGGAAATTTAAACATATTCGCAGGAAATTTTCTTACACCTTGCAGGAAATTTTTATCATCTTATTTTCATTAATTTATACTTATTGTTTCCAAAAGCATTTTGCAAGTCGAGATTGTCTTGTGCTGAGATTGAAGTTTATCACAATAGGCCTCGAAATAAGTGCCGGTCACCGGTCACTGACCGGTAAAATTTCACAGTTTGACCGGCAAATATCGTCGCCTGGCGGACATGCGTGACCGGTGGTAAATTTTGGCTATTAGTAAAACACGGAGCACGGAGCACACGGAGCACGGAGTACGGAGCACACGGAGCACACGGAGCACACGGAGCACGGAGCACACGGAGCATGGAGCACACGGAGCACGGAGCACACGAACTACGGAGCAGTAGAAAAACGAAAATCCTTTATAATAAAATACACTGTTTA